ATACAACATTCCATATCTAGAATAAACTGATTTGTATAAATTCTAACATGTGTTTCTTAGTTATGTTCTCTTTCTTCTCCATGTTTTTCCAAACCGAAACCTAAGTCTCATTACCTATTCAGACAATGACATTTTCAGCCGATCCGAATTTTCTCGTGTGACAGTGAAAATAGACATCAGAAACAACTAAGGTTACACTGAATTCCAATTCCTTGTTTCATACGAATATGGTATTTACAAATGAATTTTAATTTTAAACTTTAATAATTTCGTATTTCTATATTTTATGGCGCGGTGTAGGCAGCATGACGTAAACTATGACGTCACAGACTGCCCCAGTTTGATGAGGTCGTAAAATGGTTCACAATGCATCTGGCTCACTGGTTACACCTGTTATGTGGTTTGTTTTGCTTATCCAGTGTAGTTCTGTAACGCACAATGTGATTGATATAATATCAAGTCCGTACCAGACCGCCAAACATTTCTAGCGGCAGAGCCTCGTTTTGAGATTTCCACGATTTCCAGGTTTCTGTTTGTCAGTGCTCGATGTACGACAGAGCACGCTGCACGACATGTTTGCAAGGATTATAAGGATAAGGAGCGTAGTGTTGTAATATACAAGTGCGTAGATGTATCAAATAATACTGATTACTATATAAATATGTATCCAGTTAAATGAATTGGTCTAAAAATTCTAGACTGGTTATTGTACTAAGTTGCGCAATAGGACGGAACCCAGTCAGCAGGAAACGAGACTGTTGTGTAATCAATGTTTTGACTTGTCCTTTTCTGAATATTGTCCTCATTTGTTTAATCTAATTATAGTCAGATCTTAGTTCTCACCACCGCTACACCAAGATCTTAGGAAACAGGTTACGTCAGAACAACCTCTCGCGAACCTTGACTGACCAATGAAACGATTAAAATGGAATCGACAGTTGCCAATCTGAAAACAACAACTGACTATTTCCAGACTACCCTTTTAAAATATTATGACAAAGTCCCCGATTTAAACTATGAAAACTGAACAAAAGAACGTACTGAAACGACTGACAGATGGTCGGGTTTGTGTAGCAGTATGTTTCTCTGACTGCGCAACTCTTGCGTTCAAATGTTTATCTCATTGGGGCAAGAGACTGACGATGTTTTTGACAGATTCAGTTGTACCGTCATTTGAAATACCCAGACACATAATGGCCTCTAATCTGGTGAGCAACATTCTGATTGGTCACTGATCGGATGAGTCACATTGTGATTGGTCGGATGAAATGTTCTGACTTGTCCATTAATGGGATGTGGACAGATTTTGTATTGTGACGCTTATGTTATGTAAATACTCACGAAGAGGTCTATCATTTAGTGATAACATGCCCACCATATATAATCATTTATAATTAAATTTCCGGAGTGTTCATTAAAATCCTGCATTCTGAATGGTTGAACTGGTCACATGATATTGCATTTATATCCCAATTACTCTAAAAAATCAGCCACGTCTTCCAAGCGAACTACTTTCAACTCTTTGTCGTAGAATCCCATTTACAGTCGAGGGAATTCCCTTTCTGTCGTTCCTGCACAATGGTATAGTCTCACAAGTTCAGGATCACTCAAACCACCTTCGATGCCCGAAGTCCTAGAGAACCTGCAGGCTCTCATGGTTAGTTTTCGCTCACCTTAAATAAAATATGTTTTAGCATGACAATATGTTTATGTATGCAGTAGTTGTAAGCCTTGCTTAATTAAATAATAATTTACCATATTGTCGTGTCTGAAAATTCGTTCCCTGTTATAATAACGTTTACAATTTATATCTGTACTGTATGTCCTTGGTTGAAGAAAATTTGAAATAGCCATTTGCAACAAATGAACAATAAGATTAAAATCCATCTAGTTTCCAGAACTATCTACGTATGAGATGGATCACAATTTACTTCATGTCTACAAGACACGACCTGGTGGGAGATATCTTTATGTGGTTACAAGTATTGACAGTCACATTATAATGCAACCTTGAAATATTTGAAAAACATCATTTGTTTCTGCAGTTCAATATCAGTAATAAGAGCATGCAGTTTGTTGACAAAAACAAATGTGCTTTGTTATAGGCGACCGGAGAGAAGCCTGGGGCAGTAGATTTCCGTTGGCTGTGTATTGTGATAAACACATGTGAATGGATTGATTGTAATGAGGGTGAGCGATGGGTCAGTACTTAAGGAAATATTATGCGATGTTTCATGAATTAAAGTGCACTTACTTTAGTACTCTGGTATCTCCACTGGCTGCCGGTCAAAGAACGGATACATCATAAGATCCTCACCCTCAGTGTATCAATGATACAGTTCCTGGTTATCTGTGTGATCTAGTAGAAGACTATGTCCCTACAAGAACTCTCCGTTCCAGTGATCAAATGCTACTTAAGACATTTGGCGGAAGATCCTTCGCATATAATGCTGCCGTTGAACGGAACGCTCTCCCATTTGATCTGAAATGAACTCCAACTCTAACTTGTTTCAAGAAGCAACTTAAGACCACCTACATGTTATATCTATAAACTCTGTTAGCGCTTTGGAGCACACTTTGGTGGGGAGTTTAGCGCAATATAAGAATCCATAATATTATTATTATGAAGGGGGCATAAAATCGTATAATGTTACGCCTGTCAACACCGGTCTGTGTAAATACCTATCTATAATGAATCTATAAATTATGTATATTGACACATTTAATGTGAACGCTAGAGAATAATCAGTTGATTATCCACCAAACAGATTCCGTCGGGCGTAAAGGGCATATAACATTGTAAATGTAGTCATACAACGCGACCGGCATGCTACTTCCTTGTGAACTTATCACACTCGTGTGTGCCAGGTGTTTGCGTGTGTAGCAGGTGTTAGCGTGTGTGCGCGGAAGGCTATTTTTCAGTTCTTTGATCATATGATAATTAGTTCAAAATATATAGTTATAGTTCCTGTAGCATCACCCAAGGGTATAGCAGAATATATTGCCGTGTATTCAAAACGATAAGTTTGGACAACAGATTAGGACACATCCGGGTGAAGACTTTGACAGAAATTCCACGTTTCATGGATTCAACTTGGCCTTATTGGCTGGAGGCGCAAACACCTGAATTTTCTCTCAGGTGAAATTCCTCTCTATATATACACTTGGAATATTCAAAATAACTTAGTCTCTTTGTATTTTGGCAATTCCAAATGACCAATGAACATAGCTGTAGCAAATTAGGAGCTATGTGACTAATGTGGGTAATTCGAAATAATTGTCCCGCTTTTATGCGGAAATCGAGTTTTCAATAAATCCCTAATTTAAACACATTCTTTGTTTTTTACTGATCTAAAAACGTTAATAAACTGATACACTTTCAATTCAAGACAGTTGTACACGTAATTACTGCCTATAGAGCGGTCATAGCGTTCGTGTATGTGGACGCTTTGTATCTTAGGGCCTGTTCGATTATTGCGAAACTGGTTTGGGTTTTTGAAACTGGTTTCTCCTGTTATAAACGAGTGTCTAGTTTCGGAAACATGGTTTCAAAGTGAAACTAGTTTCTAGATTTATAAACGAGTGGATGGTTTCACCATCCGGTTTCAAAATGGATACCCAAAAAATGTCTCAGCTACTGTATATGCGGAACGAATGGGATGACAGCATATGTTTTTTCATTTTATCTGTGAATTAACAAGTAATAAAGAGATGAGATGCTTTTGGAGGTAAATATTTGCGTATGTGTAATTATACTATTACAAGTAATTATATATATACAAGTTACATAAAATAGCCATGTTCAACAGACTGGGGTTTTAAATAATAATTTCCTATTTTCTCAGTTGATTTTTATCATTATTTTGGTTCCAAAAACTGCTGCTCTATTTCGCCACCAAGATCAGCTGAACTTGGCGCTTTCGTTTCCGCCATGTTTGTTGTGAGAGAACGCGAAACTGAAACTGCGAAACCTGCCTCGTAGATGGTTTCGAAGTTTCAGAACCCAGTTTTAGGTTTCGACATAATCGAGTGCATGGTTTTCCCGAAACCAAAACCGGTTTGGCATAATCGAATAGGCCCTTAGCTAAGACATGGGTACACATGACAAAGACTTTTGTTATGGAATGTCATATATTGACATATACACCCTTTTGTCCTGAAAGTCTATTAAATGACCATTGAAACTCTCGTGGAAACGGGTGAAAATGAACTGTGCACACACACAGGCGCACAGGTTGATATATAAATACAGTAATCTCGTGACATAAAACGGCGTTACAACTCGCCTGTGATATCATCACAGCTGAGCGATTTCTTTCTTTCATCTCCCCCAAAATGGTGAAAGGGAAGTAGAGTGGTTGTCGCTGGTTGTTAATGTCGTTGTATTGTTGTTCAGGATCACAGTTCATGACAGCAATCAACAACAATCAGTTTATCAATATGGTGCCCTGTGTCCACCAGCTTTCCACAGACTCTAGTCTGTCTCATAGTCCCTGGACCACATTATTTTCCGTACTGCCAAGCCCTAAATAAAGCAAGTCTAGATTTCCTCAGGTTCAGGATCTCTGGTCTCCCTGGGGCTCCTTTTAAATTTACATGGGCTTGTTTGTTACTATCAAAATTGTATATTCGGAGACTAAACGTTAGTCTACACAGACACCAAAGAAACGAAATGAGACGTAAATGTGTGATGCAGTTGCTTTTCGATGTATGGTAAAGCATCGGACAACACAGAAAACCACACCCCAGGGTGCCTTAGTGCTACGCCAGTCGTAAGTCTATGTTACGGTATACGAGTTACGCTCACCTTAGCGCTAAGATCACTTTGTACAACGGCACCCTAGAGTGTGGGTTTCTGTATTGTCGGATACTATTAGCACACATCGAAAAGCAATCCCTCCATATTCATTGACATTTATACAACAGTCTGTCTCAAAACGATATGGGTTTGATTTGGATCTTTAACTCGACGCACAAAACACACATCCTATCATCATAATTATTTGAATATTTTATTGTATATTTTGTGTACATATTTGTTCACAAAGGTGATACATATTTCTTCGTGAGTCGTACAGTGAGAACAACGTGTGTTGGTGCACGTGCAGGAATGTTAACTCACCCGGTCGTTCATGGTAATACACAACATGCACGCACTGTCAATGACGTCACTACGTGCAGTACGTGTGTAATGTTTCTAGTGGATTCTGGCGGACAAATAAATAATACTTCTGATAAAACTCCAGAAAGTAAGACTGATGTCTGACAATATATTCATACTGTTTAAGCCGACAGGGAGGCACTTTCTGCCCGATCTGCGCAGTGGCTTGTCGTCGTTGTCAACATCGCTTAGTCATCCTCGTTAAACCCTCGAGCCTATCTGTGTAAATGAGTGTGTTATACACTTGGTTAGTCGCCCTGTTACCATAAACAGGGGGGAGGTTATCGCTACTCACTGCTAACAGGTGTGCTTTACGACAGCCTCTATGATGACTTCGTGGAAGATGACCCAGGTGTCTCTACTTCTCGCGATACTGCTCGGTGCGTCAAGCAGAATCAGTTTTCACTGAAGCAGTGTAGGATAGGATGGCATTCGCGTTCTTAGCGCTTCTAACTTATCACAGATGTTCATCCACATACAACATAAATCCGTCAGAGAAACGTTTGACAAATTACTAGATACAAGGGTCAAAACACAAGCCATCATTTCTGTAATCCAGATCCACGTGACCCTGACAATGACGTCACTTCCTCTCGAGCATCACAGTTTATCACAGTTTAGAGTGTCTACAACCCGCGCTTTCATGTAGTGTTTCCTATCTTATTCAGCATCCTATTGAACACGTGACGGACTTGCTGTGCACTACTTCTCCGTCGTCCTTTGTTCTCTATCATTTTCCTACGCCGCACTTCACGATGTAGTTCGTGGAACAGTTCGGATATGTCCGGGCCGCCATCACTAGCGGAAGTCTCGAAGAACGCACAAGCCATATCCTGGGCCAGTGTCTGACCTTCGGTTGTCTCCACCTTGCGTTCATGTAGCAGGTCGACTTTGTTTCCCACCAGCACACATTGCACATTGGTCTTCTTGAGGTCATCTAGATACTCCTTCATCTTCACCATCTCCTCGAAGCTCTGGCGGTCGTTGATGGCGTAGACCAGCACGAAGCCGTCCGCCCACCGGACAGAGCCCTCCCGGTGTATGGTGTCCTCCTGCTGAAAACAGACAACATCACATATCATCTCATCTGTCACTGGACATCCTCACAGGCTGTCCCTACCTTGCATTGTGTACTAAGTATGACGGATAGGCTACTACGAAAAGAACCTTTTCCAAGGTGAATATTTAGCTGCATGCAGAGGAATTCGGTTATTTGCTCGTCATACGAACGCGGCTAACCCAGAATTACTGTTTACACTGTTTGGAAAAGAATCATGTCCGCCGCCATCACAGCGTAAAATCCATCGTTCTCAATCACCCATCGTCGAATCAAGGATTTTATCCATGGGTATATTTATAGATACTGTTCCCATACAGCACCCTTGACATCTATCATATATACATTTCACCATACTGTTACATGCTTTATAGTACAACAAGGATCTCCCCCTTATTCCAACTTGGCGTATCTCCTCCACCTCCGTGCATGTACCGACCGATCTCATATCATACGTATGTAGCCATATTATCCCAGGATCTCCTCTTCATACGTATGTAGCCATATTGTCCCAGGATCTCCTCCTCATACGTATTTAGCCATATTGTCCCAGGATCTCCTCCTCATACGTATTTAGCCATATTATCCCAGGATTTACTCCTAATATGAACCCCGCTCCACCACACGTACATGATATGAGTGTGTATTTCTGTATTAGGTATATCATATATAATTCATCAGGCCTTACATAATCGGGCAAGACCAAACTGACGTGAGTTCATGTATTATATGAATTATATATATATTACCTGATATAGAATATACACACTCAGTTTTATTCAGGTCATTGAACCTTTCTTCGTCACATGCTGCTCTCACGTATGTGCATTACGTCACTTTTATGACGAGTAGAGACTTACAGGCTGTTGGGTCATGATCAACCAACGGGACCACGTGATGCCCGGGTAACACGTGTCATATTTTGGTGTATCAGTATGTAATAGAAGTATGTATATCATCTGGCATCTCACTTTGCGCAAGTAAATTACATTGACATATGTTTTTCTGCAAGTCGTGACGTTTCACAGCAGCCGCCATTTAACCTGATGGAGGTGAGGATGGGGTAATTGGTCGGAGGGGAGACACGGCTGGCATGCGGGCTGGAGGCAGAGGAAGCTTTCATCAGCACCAAACCACTGGGGGCAACAACACACACCCACATACATCCCCACATACATCTCGGCGAGGCAATCATTACAATGGTTCATATGGTATTTCCTAAGTGATATATTTGTCTTTCATCTGGTATCAAAACATGAGCTAACGGTTTGTAGAGGATGTGGATGCCGATGGCGAGGTTCTGTCAGTGTCTGTTCACGCCGAGATGGGCAGTTGTGGAAATATATGGCCGAGTGGCAGCGGGCTGTTTCATGTCCACCCACTGTACATGCTGGTCAATTCTCTGGCAACGCAATTTGTCTCACCATCCTTGAAACACAAGCCAACTACTGGAACTCCCACTTCGCGGAAGTCTCTAGTACCACATGCTCAATGTGCACTTAACATAACGGTAGACTGAGATTACCAGGGTTTTAGCCCCATCCATCACCATCCGTTTAACCAGTACCATTCACCTAAAACTAATTGTACCTATCAATGTTAAATCACGAAGCCGCGTTGTTCTTGAGAACGGGGTTGGTCCGGTTGGCTTCAATCAGTCCTTCGCTCGGCAAGTCTGGCTCAGGTGTGCTAGAGGTGTTCCCGCTTTGACAGTAATATATGCCCACTCACTCACTCACTCACACGATCAAGTCTCTCTCTCTCTCTCTCTCTCTCTCTCTCTCTCTCTCTCTCTCTCTCTCTCTCTCTCTCTCTCTCTCTCTCTCTCTCTCTCTCTCTCTCTCTCTCTCTCTCTCTCACACACTCTCACACACACACACATAGTGGTACTTACAATTCCAGCTGTATCAAGTATTTCCATCAGCACGGGCTCGTCGTCCACGTTGGTGGGGTGTTTATACGTGCACTCTGCAACACACGACACCGTCATACCGAGTCAAGACATGGTCAAAGGGAAAGGGTCCAGTTGAAGAGTTCGATAACAGTTGGATGTGTACATAATAGTTACATGTTTTTGTCCTGGAGTGAACTGGCATTGTTGATTTTGATCACAAAACCAAACATGCATTAGATTATATATGTCCATGTTCATTACAATCTAAAAGCAAGAAGGGCTTGTGATGGCTGTCTTGGATATATGTGTTTCAAAATGAAAATAAAGAAATTATTAGCATATGTATATATGAAGGTACTATTTCAATTCAATGTATATGATAATTAAAGTGAATAACAAAAGGAACTTTGAAGCTATAGCTACAGCATGTTGATGTTGCAAACGTTGTGGTGAGACAAGGCTTACCTAGCGTCGGGTCGTACTCCCATATAAACCTCTTGGTGAGGAACCGCACCACCAGTGCTGGAAGAACAAGGTAACAGAAGGTGATCACATAATATATGCAGTGTTTCTAGATGGGTGGACAGGCAACCTATCTAGGTGATGCAACAGGGAAATTTGTTTCATACTGTAGGGTAACATATTCTTATTCGGCATCCAGTTCCTTCGAATGCTAGGTTAGTGGGAACTAACTGCTAACTGTCTACTGCAGGGTGTTTTCATGTTTACTAGTTGTATATGTTGTGTATGTATATGTGTTTTGTTTAATATTTATATTTCAGTTATCTTATTTTTATCTAAGAAAGATCGGTTGGACAAATGAGACTATATTGAATCTATTTCTACTTTCTGATTGTTATTTTCGGCGCCGGTTAGTCGAATACATAAACCGCCGTCACAAATGTTTCCCAAGCAGCCAGCCGCACACGGAGGCACAATGGGCGATATCTGATCAGATGCACTAATTAGCCTCCAGACGTCACCCACTAAAGTAGAGCACGTGTATTAGGTGTTATCTTTGATAGTTAGTAATAAATATGCCCGGTAAAGACTCGTGTATTTCAGTAAGTCTATCGCGCCAGCACATTGTTCCCCTCCTAACTGATTAATGTTGCCAACTTACACAATCTCCCCTCGATAAGACCCCGGGATCAGGGAGGGAGGGAGTCACTACACCGACGGTCAGACTTGTCCCACATTAGGGAACGCTGTCTGGACGTGCCCCCAGACGGATGAGTTGGTCGTGATGGGTAGACATCTTGACCATATGGGAACACCCACAAGGGTCCAGAACAAAGACGGCTGATGATTTGACGTGACTTCAGTGATCGATAGATGAACTATATATAACCTGCAGCGGGCTACAGTAACACTTACGACCTCGGCATGAGTTAATAAATCAGATTGAAGGATCGTCTAGATAATGCTGAACAGCTGCATATCCTGGCTCAAGGAATATTCATTAAATTTCATATCCAGTACAATTAAGATAACTCTATTTCCAGGCCTGCATGCTATTATGACCGCCAAGAAGAAGGGCGAGGGATGTTGGAACGAAGTACAACCGTCCGTCTGTTTACGTCCGACTGCCTCTCTATGAGGACAAGTTTTCTCATAATCTGAATACGTTACAGACCCGAAATTAAACACACTGGTGTTGCTTGACACGATCTAATATGTTCTAGCATTGGTGTCTTAGATTAACATACAGCCCTTGCCCGTGTACTTTAGCTTAGTGAGTGAAATGGGTTACGAGTTTTCTCAGAAACTGCTGACGTTACATGAAAGTTAGTAATCCATTCTGCTTATTGAAGTGATCATTGTCAGGCGTGCACGTGAGTTCGAGAAGTGGTGCCATTACTTCCCTTGCCAGATGTTTTTTTCTTGTTCAATCTTGAGCATACACAGCGATGGACAAATATTGTCTTCAAACTACTGAGGTGACATGAAATTGCTTCAAACTAAATTTGAAAATTGAGCAATAAATATATTTTCTTCCAGAGAAACGCGTTTTGCGTGTATCCAAATCACATCAAATAGTTTGTCATAATGACATAAAGCGACCCTCTGTTTTGCCTAGTTTACTTCCTTGTACAGTGAAACCTGCCAAGACCGGCACCTGTCTAATCCGGCACAATGTCAAAACCGGAATAAAATTTTGGTCCCGCCATTTTACAACGATATTATGATCATTAAAACATTATCTAATCCGGCACATGTCCTTTCCTTATTCCGGCACGACTTTCCGGTTCCAAAAAGCGGTGACGTGGAGTGCCGGTTTAGACAGGTTTCACTTTTTGAACAAACAGATTTATGATGTACCCCATAGCGGGAAACAGTGATAGCACCTTCTTGTTCTACGTGCTGACACGCACTGGGTCCCAGGGAATGATTATCACACGCTCCCGTCATCAGCATTAAACGTTACGTCTTCATCATGCTGTCACTTACTTTCTGTCTGTCAGATAAGATTCAAGCCTAAAATGACAGATGCGCAGTAACACAATATTATCTTATCACGTCTCATGTGTGAACACAGTATATGAGGGCGCGGTCGCCAGGCTGCATGACGTGTGACCATGATAACGACTCTCTAGAACTGATAAAAAAATTAAAAGGATACAAGTTTCTCAGAACAAGAATTTTCGAGTGACATATCTCACTAGGTGAAAACAAACCACGATTAGTTCACCACAAATAGGATGTCCGTTCCTTCAGAATTTCTAGTCCAACTACAGTTCCGATGATGAAATAATGTAAACACCACATTGACTCTTCCAGGGAGTATACGGTTCCTCGTTGCTTGCAGAGTCCCACACAAGATACCATCAAGCCTGTAACTACTGCACGTGCAAGGCGTGTGAAAACAGGTGTCGTCTTTCAAAGAGCAAAACTGTTCCCGTTGCCGCATTCCTGTCTGTACCACTCAGTATAGCCGCCCGTTCAGGATTTCATCTCCCAAACAACACAATAACACAACCCTGACAGAAAATACCTGCAGTCTTTCAACAATAACATTGTGTGTCTTCTACCAACATCACAATAAGTCGTTCTGTGGTAATTAACCTGTTAACAACAAGGGCTATTGTGGAAGTATACTTCGTATATTACCCCGGCCATTCCACGGAACACTACACGGTGTCAGCATAGGATGCGATGTCATCAACATAAATACCCAGCTTAAGTAAGACAACCGTTACTCAAATCTGTCATTTCATCGTTTACAAGTAGAGATTCTGATGGCCGTGCGCCGCATCGAACAGAAATAGTAATCCTTTAAACGCCATCATGTAAACAGAGTACGAACTGGGCGGCGACCATTGGTGCCATCTGCTGGCTTTGCAAGTCTGCCCCCCGTCGTCGCCCCTTCACTGCAGACGAGGAGGGAATGTGTACACAACCACATGCAAAAATCCCTCATATAAACATGTGGTGAGGGGCCGCCTCAATCACCTGTTGGGGGTCTATCTGGACGGGGATATCAGCAGGTATCACTGCGGCTTTGATGAGGGCCAAAGGGCGGTCATCTTCAACAAATCTATTTGATTGGGCCACTCGACATGTTTACGATGTGAACCAGAGCAGACTTGCTACATCAAACCCCAGACTCTTTATCAGGTCCTCCACACTTCCCCCTTACCCCTAATTAGAGATTTCACTATATCAAGCGTACTGACAGCCGTTCCCGATAACCTCCACGGCCTGGAGTAGTCTCCCTTTGTAACCTCGTGGTTGCAACAGCTCTCCGCTATGGTTTCTCTCAGTCGGCGTTTTTTTTATCAACAGCACACACTTACCGATGACCTTGCACGTGTACGTATATGTACGCGGAATAACGCTTTTAGAAATGAGTAACATTTCCAGCAATCCCTGTTGTAGCGCGGGTGATTTCTGACCGGAACTACTGCCAACATGCACAGGCTCACCCTGTTGGTGAAGACGTTGTCACTGTGTGAAATATGGACACTGTCTTCGAGCTAGCAAACAAAGCGGTGTTTAAATGACAAACTAGGCAAACAATTTGGCCGCAAGGTTGACAAGATCGTAGTAAGAACAACAAGAACAAATATTACATTTGTCAGGTGTGTATGCAACCCTGCTAGCCCAGGCCTAGAGCAGTAGAACCCTGGAAGCCTGGACTATATTGACTGCACGGTCATGGTTCCACGTAAATAGAAAGCTGATCTTATATGGAGATGTACATTTTGCTTTGTTTTGTTATTTTAGGTCAATTCGTTGTCATCAGTAACCATGTCATTCTGTTGAAAATGTTTAGCCCAAGGAAAGTAATATTGTATTGTATGGTAAGTCTAGTCGCTCTACACCTATATCATTTCAAGTGCATTATTGTACAACTGGGGACAGTCGGGTTGCACTGGATCCACATATGCCGGAGTGAATGAGGACAACACAGAGATATTTCCTCAACTGCGAACGTAGCTGAGAACACATCGCAGTCCGGGCATATTCGTATTGAAAGTCTTAACTACAGAGAAGTAACCGATAAGAATCAACTCAATACTAGGATCAGCTTTAGCCTCTGACTGTAGTAGAATCTGATAAACTTCTAAGGAACCGCCATCAATGCACCAGTAATGGTATAAAGTAGTACAGGCTTATTATCCCTGACTAGAAAGGAGCACGGCTGTTTGATGTGAGGCTGCCATAAACTACGGGTTATAGACCTTACAACAACCATGTCCTAAACCGCCATCGAGGGCTAGCTGTGTGATTGATTAGCTCCTCATCAAAACAGTGATACCATCTCAGCCATAGTGTGCACAACACCAGCAGCCTCCCTCAGTCACAATACACTCCGCATCAACAGCGTCTCTCTGTCACAGTACACCCAGCATTGACAGTCTCTCTCTGTCACAGTACACCAAGCATCAACAGCGTCTCTCTGTCACAGTACACCCAGCATTGACAGTCTCTCTCTGTCACAGTACACCCAGCATTGACAGTCTCTCCCTGTGACAGTACACCTAGCATTGACAGTCTCTCTCTGTGACAGTACACCTAGCATCAACAACGTCTCTCTGTCATAGTACACCCAGCATTGACAGTCTCTCTCTGTGACAGTACACCTAGCATCAACAGCGTCTCTCTGTCACAGTACACCCAGCATTGACAGTCTCTCTCTGTCACAGTACACCCAGCATTGACAGTCTCTCTCTGTGACAGTACACCTAGCATCAACAGCGTCTCTCTGTCACAGTACACCCAGCATCGACAGTCTCTCTCTGTCACAGTACACCCAGCATTGACAGTCTCTCCCTGTTACAGTACACCTAGCATTGACAGTCTCTCTCTGTGACAGTACACCTAGCATCAACAACGTCTCTCTGTCATAGTACACCCAGCATTGACAGCCTCTCTCTGTGACAGTACACCTAGCATCAACAGCGTCTCTCTGTCACAGTACACCCAGCATTGACAGTCTCTCTCTGTCACAGTACACCCAGCATTGACAGTCTCTCCCTGTGACAGTACACCTAGCATTGACAGTCTCTCTCTGTGAC